CTTGCTAGCCGCTGGTAAAAAGCTGTACCATAAGCAGCACACACGCACTAACGAAATTTGTTTATTATGAAAATCCAACGAGGCGGATATAAGCAACTGCCAAGCCAAAGAGTGTGTGTGTGTGAGAGAGAGAGATAGCAAGAGAGCGTACTGACCATGTTAATTGCTGTGGCTATGACTGGATGTGGCTGTGGCTGTGACTGTGGCTGCTGCTCAGCTTATGCCAAGAAATAAGACAAAAATGCTTGTAAATTATTGTCAGAGCTTTTATTATTTGAGCCAAGTTTTAGCAGATATTATCTAAGATAATATCTAACAGCTCGTATCTGAAGCAATTCTCTGATTCCAAACTGCAAATTGCAAATTGCGCGTGCAACTGCATCTAAATAAATATCTAAGGAAATTTATTTGTGCAGGCGGCAGCTAAGGCAATTCCTCTTCTTTCACAGTGGCAGGCCCTGAACCCCTCTCAGACGCCGCCTCTGAGTAATTGCGACCCATAAATAATGTGTCTGCTCTGACGCCCTGTCACAGAGCGTCGGCAGAAGGCGGGGGGAGGCGGGTAGGGGTGCATGCAACACAAGGACTTGCAACGTTGCCAGCAATTTCTTTTGATAACTCAATGCGTCGTTTATGCGCTTTGTTTGCCCCGCGTTCAAGCGGAAATGCACAAGGGAGCGAGCGAGAGAGAGAGAGAGAGAGAGAGGAAGCCAGGGAATGGCTAAAGCTAAGGAATGGCTATGCGGAAGGGATTGTCAGCCCCCCTCGCTTCGTTTTCCTCCAGTTTAATATCTACACGATTTGATATACGCACGAACAACAACACTTTTATTGCCACTTAAAAGCTGAGCTATTCAAATGGCATTAAAGCTCCGGCAGGCTACGTGAGCTGCTATTAACGTAATACCTAATTTGTATGGATTGCAGCCTTTTCCAAAGAAGTTATTAAAAAGCAAAGAGCTTCGCAGCTCGCAGCTCTGGCTTGGGCCTATTACTGCCTAATGGGAAGGAATATAAATAAAAGTCGAATGGAAAGAGCTAGCCTGGACTACTACTAACTTAATGTCAAATCAATTGATTTTATTTACAAGAAACGGTTTTATTCTATTATTATTTCTTTTCCTAATTTTCAATTTTTTTAAACCAATTAAAAAAATATATATATTATTTATTTGTATGATAATATTTAAATATTCCAAATTTTTTAATTAAGTTACCTAAGCGGTAGAAGGTTGCTGTTAAAATGCCCTTATATATGTTATGCCAATATATCAATTTCTCATTTTACATTCTACATTTTTGGTAATCACTTTTTCCTAATTCTAAAACCTTTATTTAGGGAACTTTGAAGAATGCTCGTTTATTTATGACTTGCTAAATGATTTTCAATAAAATATCGTTTGACAAACTGTAAATGAATGCAAGTGAAGCCAAATGTCTCGAAGCTGATTAATAAAAAAATAAATTATTTATATAAACTTAAAAAGATTTTTATTTATTAATTTTTTTTTTTTTACATTGTCTATAATATTAAAATAATTTGTCTATAATATTTAATATTGACATTATTCAAATGAAATAAATTTAAAAAAAAACCCAGAAGCTCTGCTTTTAAGTTTTTACTAAAATATACAGCAAAAGAAAATCGACTGCTTGCCCCACACAGTACAACGAGTTGAGAGTTATTAACGGCTACAGAATTATCCAGCAACTCCTTGCTTAATTTGTTTATAATAATATAAAATGCTACTATTACTATTTAGTAGTATAGCTCTAATAGTGACTGGACTGTTTAGAGTATTAGATGCATGAAAGACAAATTTCCATTCAGCTCTGATAAATGTTTAATTTAACTTTTAATAAAATTCAGATTTTCACTTATAACTATTGATTAACGACTAACAGCTACCAGTTTTACCCAACTCTAACTCTATATCAAATGCTAGCTTCTCTCACACTTAGTGCTTCCATGCAGCATTTATAAAATGTAAATGCGAAATATAAAATGCGAAATGCTCTGTGCTCTGTGCTCTTTCTGTTGCTGACGCTGATGTAGATAAATTGAGTTTTTAGTTTTTCATTTGCATAAATCTGGGAATTTTCAACATATTCATAAATTATGGAGCCATAATTCAACAATATTATATATATCACTGCCTGAGTCATGTTTTACTTTAATAAAAATCATATAAATAAAAAAATCGCATAAGGAATTGCTCTAAGCGCAGCGTTCTGCACAAGTGCGTTGGGAAGGTTTTGCACTGCAAAGGATGAGTCAGTTGCTGTCAGACGCATGAAACACACACACACACGCACACATACTCTCACACTCGCACATGCACATGGCAGTGTCACGCTTTTGAGTTGTTGCTGCTGCGTTGTTAATTTCATTCATTATTTATGGTTTACCTCGTCGAAAACGCATCGGGCACAAACTGGCATTGCACCCGCTCTTACACCATTCGCTCCATCTCGCTCTAGCTCTCTTTCGCCTTATCTCTTTCGCTCCGTACCTTGGTTACACTTTTAATTAACAAACGCACGAAAATGCTATTTTACATGAGACATGTCACAGCGTCGAGCGTAGCAACTGGCTCTGGAGTCGGGTTAAGTGGCATACGCTGTCTGCTCAGCTACATGTGTGTGTGTGTGTGAGTGTGTACGTGTGTATGTGTGTATGTGTGCATGTGTGCATGTGTGCATGTGTGCATGTGTGTGTGAGCCTTGCATGAGCGCACTAATTTACAAGACACACACACAGACACACATATACTGTCGCACGCATGCCACAACACACTCGCATTTAATATGCAGCCGCAACTCGACTTCGCATTACGCATACGCCAAGTAAGCCGACGTATTAAAGCGCAGCATATTAAGTATACGCGACGTAAAAGTGCACCATACTCTTAAAGCCTATCTATTGTGGCAGAAAATAAATAAATAATATATAATATATATATTAATAATATATATACTTGATTTACTTGGAAAATATTGAAAGCATAAGCTTCTTATTATTTTGTATGAGTTAACTAAATTAGATTTAATTTTAAATAGTATATAATTTTAACAGATAATAAATTGATCAACTTATTCAAAAGCTAATGCTAAGCCAATATTTAATAAATTTATCTAGTAGCCTATAAATTAAAATAGCCTAAGACACAGTCTGTAAATAAATTACATTAATATTATATTTAATAATTTAGTATTAATAGTGTTAATAATATGATATTACTATAAGTAAACTATATTTATTTTATCTATTAATTTTTTTGTTTTTTATATATTATTTATTATTTAATTTAAGTATTAAATTTTTATTTTTTTTTTTATTTTTTTATTTTTTTTATTCTGGGCAACCAAAGCAACTTATGCCTTAATCGTGCATTACTTATTAGTATGATAGTGTACTTCAATTAGAGTATTTCTATATTAAATCCATCTCACTAGCAACAATTAAACTCGATTTAAAGTCTACTTTCTGGCGCTTCGCGGCTGACGCATTGTTTTGTGCTTTTGCCATTCGGTGGTCTAGAAACTTTTTTTCATTTCATTTATTTTTTTGTTGTTTTTGTCTTCTGCAATTAAAAGCGCGCATTAATCAACAGGCGGCGCGACGGAAATTGCAGCCCCTCCACCTGCCCCACCGCCTGCCCGCCTCTAAATAGTGCGGCGCTTCATTTAGGGGAAGTGCCGGCCGCACCTCTCCGCGCGCCAACTTTAATTTATTTAGACCAAATACAACGCAAGCGAAAAATGGCAAACGACAGAAATTTATCTCTCGCACGCCTTGTCGCATAAATTATGTCGAACAACCACACAGCCTCCTTCCACCCACCTCGCCCCCTCTAACAAAGAGCCCCTTCCCCCCTACTACACTAGCATAGTGGCACAGTCAGCGGCGCCGGCGAAAATTAATGAAAGCGACGCAGCGGCAAAAGATGCCGAAGCAGCGCAAAACAAAGAACAAAAGACATTAAAATGAACTAAAATCAAATGAAATGTAGCCAAGGGATGAGAGGAGATAGGGAGAGGAGGAGAGAAAGAGAGAGGGAATGAGACAGAGGGGCCTAATGACAACCACAATGAAGCAGCTGGCGAGCGGAAACGGAAATGAAAGCAACGCAACGCAATGCAGAATGAGAAACGGCCGAATGACAACACACGAATGATGCAACGGCTCATGATGTTGCATGCAACAAATCAGAGACGTCGCGCGCGCGCTCTCTTCACAGCAAATGTTGCATGGCAAATGCGATTGTCAAGCAATGACCTCATTAGAACAGCGGGCGAGACACTCACAGAGACAGACAGACAGAGAGATAGATATATATAGAAAGAGAGAGAGAGACTGCTACAAGGATGAGGCAACTTCTCATGCTGCACGCAGCAACCGCAAGCAATTAAAGAATGAGGAGCAGAGCAGCAACAGCCACGGAGAGTCTCAGCCCGCAGGCGAGCTGTCAACATGCACAGAGCGTCATATACGTCAACAGCGTGACGTGAAGCACAGGAGCAGCAGCAGCAGCAGCAGAAACAGTGAAAGCTGCGACTAATAAAGGCGATAGAATCAGTGATACTCTGAATGAAGTGCTGCGAGAATAATATATTGAATAACTACTACTATATAAATACAAATACACAACTATATATAAATTTAAATATACATATACAGAAAATATGCATTCAAACTGATTCCCATTTCAAAACTGCACTACCAAACCAACCATCTTAAATCATCAAGATAGATAAGGTGATAAGGCTTGAACTCCAATTGTATTGATATTAAATAATTCAAGTGTACAACAACTCATTTTTAGCTCAAAGTGAATAAAACTAAATAAATGAACTACGAGTACAAATAAAATAAATTAGAATACGGCTATAACAAAAGTATAAGTTGTCATTTAATAACCGTACGGATACTATATAGGCGGAGTCGTTACAACCGGATTCTACTGTAATCAATTCAAGTCTAATTCAAAGCTACTTACCAATTTGCCTGGATCTAGCGCTGTCAGTCTTCTAGTTTCTGCAATAAAAGAATTTTATTTTGTGGATTAATTAAAATAATCATATATTTTAAATCTTCTTAAATGTTACTTTAGCTAATTTTCTTAAAGATATGGGACATGGGGCTAAGTTTGAGCCTGTACAGCTTAGTTAAATTGCCGTTAATTTCAGTTCCAATAAATCCACAACTTTTCACATTTCATACAGCCTTTCATTAGCTTCAGCAGCTCTTGCCACATGCGCCTCTTTAAAGCCAACAATCACTCGCAGCTCAAGGACAATGACATTGCGCTTTAAGGGCAACTTCAGTTCGCCCACTTTCAACTGTCACACGCAGTGCTCCACTAGCTGTCAACCGCAATCATAAAGACAACACCCACACAGCCGCACACACTCACCTTTTTATAGACCCCCCACACACACACACACACTCACACACACACAGGCAGCTCAGAAATGAGAATGAACTGTAAGCCGTCACATAAGATATTCTAAGCTCCTAAGCTGGCTTAGCCTCGACGTTGAGTAACCAAGCAAATTACGTCGCATTTAAGTTTCATAATATGCTTAAAATTAAAAACGCAAAAAAGGAAAGGAAAGCAGAGAGAAGAGAAGCGAAGAAGAACTTTCTCAGCTACTACTACTACTACTACTACTACTACTACTATTTTGTTGTTCCATTTCGCTGCAGGATTTAAAGGTAATGTTTTCTTTGGGCATTGTTCGAAACTACAAAGCACGAAACACCTGCCAGACAAAAGACAAAGGCGGGACACACAAAAACACAAAACAGTTGGACCATGAAAACAGTAACTAAAAGGAGCAGCAGACGTCACATTACTAAGCAAGTTGTCTCCGTCTCGAGTCTCTAAAAGCTCACTCTCTCACTCCCTCTCTCTCTCTCTCTCTCTCTCTCTCTCTCTCTCTCTCTATGTGTGTGTCAAGACAATGGACTGCGACAAGTGCAGAGTCTATAAATATTACATGCATCCAGCGCGGGGGCGGCACAACTACTACAAAACTACAAAAACTACAACTTGCAAATGCACAGCTAACAGAGACGAGACGAGACGCTAGGCGAGACGGGGCGAGGCGAGGGTTCGACGAGAATAACACAAAAGAAAAACTTGTAAAAGTACTGCAGCCAGAGCTGCACAAATTCTAAATACCCTAAACTAAATATGGATGTTATGTGGAATACAAAAATAATGGAATATTGTGTTTTCTCTTCTTCTTCGTTTAATGATTACCATTAATTTATTGAGATTGCAAAGCTTTATTGTCTTCTTTTTACTTCAAATATATAAGGAAAAGATAAACATTTTCAACTGTATTGTGATTTTTACTACTTAAAATTTATTTATTGGTTTATTAGCTATATTGTCTAATTCGTTCTTAAAGTATATTGTAAACTTTACCTGCTTAGTTATATATTTTCTATTTATATTTTCTGATTTTCGGCTCAAATGAATATCTTCAGTTAGTTTACTGGACATTCATAATTATATTTTATATTATATATTTTCTTATTCTTCTTTTAAATACTTTAGTAGTACTTTATCTTCTTTTTTGTATATCTGCAGTTTTATTTTAGTATGTCTTCACTTCACTAATAAGTTGAGCCATATGTCATCTTCTTGTCAGCATGATATAAGCAGTTGATTTTATTTTTACCTCTATGACTATATGTGAGAATCAGGTATGACTTACAAATCACAGAAAAATCTTCATAGAAAATACTCTGAACCTGGGCTCAATTCATATGACACTCAATAATTACCTAATAATTAATTTTAATTTGATATTTTTCAAACCTCATGGCAAGACATTTTACTTTCTATAATCTGTAATCATGAAGAGAGAGATCCATACTAACATGCAAAGCAAATACTATGCCAATAGAGTTACTTAGATTGAAAATGCTGGTTGGCTGCAACTGTTTACAGGGTATAGAAAACCGCATGCCCAACATAAAAACTACAACCGCACAACTACAATGAAACTTTGGGCTGCTTGTATAGCTCGACATGCACTTGTGCGCATTTGTATTGGACAGCTGAAGCAGCAGGAGCTAAGCACTAAGAGAGACGCAGACACAGCACTGGGAGGCAAAAAAGGTAAAAGAGATGAAGGACATGAAGGAGCTGTCGCATTGTCTATGCGTCGAGTTGTTAAGCACAGCGTTGCATTTTGTACTTGCAGCAACAGCAGCAGGAGCAGCAGCAGCAGAAGCAACAACAACAGCAGCAGGAGCAGCAGCAAGACAATAACCCACACCCAAGGATGAATGTGTCTGGTTTGAATTGTTTGTCGTGTTGTCTTTTGTTGCGGGAGTAAAGAGAAAATCGAGCGGCAGCTGTTGCGATTTCTTCGTTCTTTTGCCGGGAAAATTTTCAACGCAAACCGAACAAAATATGAAGTAAATTATTGACTTTCGGTTTAGCCGAAAGCTCGCGGCTGGCAGCACATTTGACTAGCTCGCAAGAGCTAATTGACTTGTTGTTGCCCCTGCAACAGGACATTAATAAACATTTCGAGCCCCGAAGGCAACAAACGTTAATTGCCCTGAACTTTTGAACTTGTTGAGTTGCCAAGGAAATTGTGAGAAACATTCACAAGGGGAGCCAAGGAGCGAAAGAGCGCGACGCCCGCGGCGCCAGCAAAGGCAGCCATCGAAGAGATTGAAAACATGAAAGAAGAAGAAGGATATCTTAAAGAGGTTGCAAGGAGTAAGGGCAAGCATCAAAAAGAAAATCAAGCACAATAATATACAAAATTATAGTACGATTTGATTCAGATTTTTAAAATTTAGAAATGTAAAATTATAATAAAATTTGTTGTGGCTATTAAAATTAAGCTGAGCAAGCATTTATATAAATAGAGAAGCGCTTTAAAGTTCCTGAAAACGCAATTTGTACTGTATATCTGAAACTTTCTTTAAGCTGCTCCCAACTTAGTGTTCTCGATGGAGAACTTGGAGAAATGATGCTACGAGAATGTGTACTACCCATTAAAAACTTAAAGTAGTTTTCAGCTTGGCGCGCTTCAAGTTTCGCAAGAGCAGAAACAAATTATGCGCCAGCTGATATAAATCATTAAGAGGTAAATCGGGGAGGGCTGCGGCTTTTGGGGCGGGGCAGTGATAGCCCAGTGCCTGCAGCATACAGACACAGGCGACCACATGCGGCGCTTGGGTCACTTAAAAATTATGACAAGCAGCCAGCGAGCCAAAAGCTGCAAAAAAGACAGCCACAGAGAGATAAGAGTGTGTGTGCGAGAGAGAGAGGGGGATAGAGAGAGAGGCAAACACTTGACTGGCATTGTAGTTGGTTATGCATGCAACACAGAAAAACCTTGCAACCGGCAGCTGGCAGGCAGCCCAGTGGCAAACGAATGAGAGAGAGGGAGTGGGAGGCAGAGCGGAGGGGGCGTGCCGAGCAGCTAGGTCAGGCAACTAAACGAGTTTTTGCCACGGCCTACGCCAATTGGCAAAGGCAAACAAAACGTAGCGCCAGGCTATGGCCAAAAACAAGCAGCCAGCCACCTTGGCACCGCTGGCCCACCAGCCAAGTGGGGGAGCTATTTTTGGGAGGAGGCTAAAGGGCGTGGCAGCTAAGCAGCAACGAGCACCCAAAAAGAAGGGGGAAGAAAAATAAAGAGGCAGAGCTGTTGTTGGCAAGCCAAACGGAACTCTTGGCTCGTTAAGGCCTATATTGGCACAGCAGGAGCAGGCAGCCGAAGTAAAGGGGGGGGAACAGCCACAAAGTCAGCTCCAGCTTCTGTTCTGCCTCACATATGCAACAAACAAACAAATCAACGAAATAAATATATAAATGTTATATATGCCACATATCAAACAAGCTGTTTGAAGTGGATGAGCTTTTCAAGAGGTGGGCGACAAGAGGTAGGCGTGGCGGCATCTACCTGTAAGACACCACCAAGCGCACAAGCAGTCGCATATTTTGACGCATATTTTTGGGCATATTAATTTGGGCGCATAAATTATGCCCAAAATATACAGAGAAAATGCTGAAAACTTTTCTTCAACAGGCTCTAAACATTTCCGAAGCGCAGAAAAGTAGGCAACACGCAAACAGAGGCCAACAAGAAGAGGGCCAAGTCAGGCCAAAGTGTGTTAATAAAGTCAAGCAAATGTAATAAATAATGAATTAATAATAACAAAAAGGAAGTTTCTTTTATATAAATAAGCAAAGCCATTATACTCTGTAAATTTGTATTGAGAAAGAGGAGAGCAGAACTATATCACAACATATAATATGTACAGCCAAATATGTGATGGAAAATTGAGAAATGTATATATATAATTTATTCTATTTTATTATTATCATGGTTTCATTTCAAATGATATGATTAATATAATCATTAATTTTATTTGTTTCTTGCAATCAAAATGTAGTTTCATAAAACTATATAGCTCTGCATATGAATTTACATATATCCAAATATTTAAAGAAGACATGAGAAATATATCTCTATATACATACATGAAAATACTCTCACATGGTTAAGAAAGACTTGAGATATACAGCAGACACTGTAAAACCAAATAGACTCCTGCAAAACCCATATACCCGTTGTAGCATTGAATACTACGTACTTTATGTTTGCCTAAAATATTTTTGGAGGCTTGGTTGGGTCTGGTTCGTTCACATTTTGTTGCGCAGCTCTGATAAGCTGTCAAATAAAATGTTGCATAAAATTTTAATGCATATCAAATGATTTAATTTGACGCTAAAGAGCGCCACAGCTGGGCGTGGATGGCTGTGTGTGTGTGTGAGTATGCATGTGTGTAAGGCGGAGGCGGAGGCAGACGCAGAGGCGTGGTCAGAGCTGAGAAATGAAAATGGCGATGGCCGCGGGTAATTACTTTGATGAAAAATGGCAGTTACAGTGATTAAGCAGAGAGTGTGGGAGAGAGAGGGGGAGAGGGGGTGGAGCACTGTGTAAGAGCGGGGTTGCAGGACGTGGGCTACAATATAGTAGATTACACATACGCCA